AACAATAGTAATAATAATAATGATAATAATAATAATAATAACAATAACAATAATAATGATATTGATACAGTTACAGAACAGTGTTGTGATTATGATAATGATATCTAAAACACAGAATCCGCGTTGTTAAGAGTCACATCACATTCCCTTTACAGTACAATTACTCAGATAATTGATGGTCCATTTCCGTGTTCGCTTCAGAAGAGCTGCCCAGGTCGCATCCGAAACGTGCTCTGCGTTTTCCTCTTCTTGTTATGTATACATTACATATATTTTTTCCTTCGCTTTACTGTGTATGCGCTTTATCGATTTTCTCTCCTCCTCTGTTCGTTCGAGTCGCTGCTGCATAGTTTAACGCGGGTTTTAATATGCAATTACATGTCGTGTCCTCGGCCCCTCTTCCTCTCGTGGGCCTCCAGCTTTAATCTACAGGTGCGGTTGACTGACTACCTAATCAAAATGGCTGTCCACCGCGTAAACAATGGCTAGCAGTGTAATACCCTCTCCCCTTCCTTGCACGGGAGGGAAATTAAATTTATGTAAATTATGTTGCTGCAACGTGTGTCTCATCGCGATCGGTTCCACAAGACCTGTGTTTAAAGTCTGGCTGGGAATTTCGAGGAAGTACTTTGGTTGTGTGTGTATGAGGGAAGGGGGTAGTAGGGAGGAGGGGTTATGTACCACGGATGAGTGTGGTGTGTACGTGTGTCTGTGTTCCTGTCTGTATCCTTACACTTTCATCTATGTCTGTTTATTAACCTGGCTATCTCTACCTATACATGGACAGCATGACAAACACCAATAAAGACATTCTGCAGAGATAGACCTTCTGCAACACCAGCCAGCCCGGGCCGCCGCGTCCCTGCAAAACAAACACGGCAACTGGGACGCTCGACGCCCAAGTTTCGCGCCAGATATCTGCCTCTCCTTCCGCTGCCGGGGACTGAGGCTGCACATTAAACAGTGAATTACAATAACCAGCGTTTAGGCTCCTCTCGCCTCGATGAGCGATTTCCGGAGGCAATTCCAAGTTGCAGCGGCGGCGGCGTCTGAGGAAACATTTATATCTCCTTCTCTTTCTTTTGCCCTTTGAAACAGTCTCGTTGCGTGTGAATAGCGGAGGACAACGCGATAGATTTCTGCTATTACTAATGAAAAAAAAAATTGTTTGTGCAGAGCTCTTTACAGATGCGTTTGAAGGACAAACAATACTGAGAGATACGCCGTGTATTGCCTGCTTATGTATCACCATCTCCACGCTGCGTGGGAGCTTCAGACACTCCCCCGAAGGCAAAGTCGCTTACACGGATGAAGTTAACTTTGGAAGCTTCATTTGATTTGAATATTTGAATACATACATTTTCCTGGTTTTCTGCGCTCGACTCGCTGGCAGTTAAGAACAGCTGGGTAAGTACGACTGCTATTCCTTTGCGTAAAGAGGTTCTGTTTCCTGATCCTGCACCAATAGTGGAGTTATTTCAACCGTAGCTCTGAATATCGCCGACAGACAGACGCATAAAAGTATGCGGGCGGACGTGAGGTAGCAGGGCGTGGGCTGGGCTCGCGGGTCGAGGCAAAACAGATTTCAGAGCGCGATCCCCGTGTCTGTCGTTCCCTTTATCATTATAATCCCTTGACACGTGTGTGAGTGCATCAGCCTGACGGTCTTTTATTCTCCACGGTATTACGCTCAGTGCCCCCCCCCCCCACCCTCCTCCTCCTCATCCCACCCTTTCTCCTCACCTTTACCTTTATTGCAGGGGTTGAGGGAGAGAGGGGAGTGGGGGGCAGACACTTTGTTAGTCAGATTAGAAAGCGTACGGAGACACGTCCCTCTGTTTCTCCCACCCTCCCATCCCGGCTCTCCCCGGCGACACTCTCCCCTTCATTCCCGCATTCTTTCTCTCCCTCCTTTCACCGCGTCCTTTCCTTACCTTAATTTTTCTTCTTATACTTCCATCCTCCTTTCACCCTTTTTCCTCAACTCTTCCTTCCACCTTTCTTCCCCACTCTCCCTTATCCTGCCTCCTTCTTCCACCTTCTTCTCACCTTCTTCTCACCCTCTGATCCCTCCCCCATTCTCACTCTCCCCCTCCCTCCCTCCCTCCCTCCCTCCCTCTCACTCTCCCTCTCCCTCCCTTTCCCTCCTTCTACCTCTCCCTTCCTCTCCCCCTCCCTCTCCCTCACTCTCCCTCCCTCTCCCTCATCCCTCCCTCTCCCACTCCCTCTCCCTCGTTCTCCCCTCCCTTTCCCTTTCCCTATCCCTCCCTCTCCCTCTCCATCTCCCTCACTCTTCCCCCTCTCCTTCTCTCCCTCCCTCTCCCTTCCTCTCCCCCTCGCTCTCCTTCCCTCTCCCTCCCTCTCCCCCTCCCTCCCCCTCCCTCCCCCTCCTTCTCCCCCTCCCTCTCCCCTCAGCCTCCACATCGGGTCATCTCCCACGAGGATTCGGGGAAGCAATGTTACGTATATTGCAGCCGTGAACAACAACATTGCACGGCATTCTGATGCTCCTTTCCGCGCCAAATTCATTGCCCTGTCATCTGATTGTTGGGATTTCCCCCTCTCCCTCTCCTCGCTCTCTCTCTCCCTCTCCCTCTCCTCGCTCTCCTGCTGCTTCCCTTCGGCTCTCTGCTCTCCCGCTCTCGGCGCCTCCTGTGCGGGGTGGGCGGCCCTGGTCTTGGGTCTTGAGTTTTTTCTTTTACTCCGCGTGTATGTTTTCATTATCTTATATATATATATATATATATATATATATATATATATATATATATATATATATATATATATATATATATATATATATATATATATGTAGACATAAACACATATGAACGGGAGAAAATCTCACAATCTAGTTTATGCATTACGGGTTTTTCTACCATATACATACATATATATCGATATATCCATATATATATATATACATATATATATATATATATATATATATATATATATATATATATATATATATATATATGTATATATATATACATACAGACATACACACACACACACACACACACACACACACGCAAATATATATAGACATATATATATATATACATATATATGTATATATATATATATATATATATATATATATATATATATATATATATATATATATATATATATACATACATATATATATATATATATATATATATATATATATATATATATATATATATATATATATATATATATACATATATATGTATATACATATATATGTCTATATATATTTGCGTGTGTGTGTGTGTGTGTGTGTATGTCTGTATGTATATATATATACATATATATATATATATATATATATATATATATATATATATATATATATATATATATATATATATATATATATATATGTATATATATATATGGATATATATATATATATATATATATATATATATATATATATATATATATATATATATATATATATATATGGATATATCGATATATATGTATGTATATGGTAGAAAAACCCGTAATGCATAAACTAGATTGTGAGATTTTCTCCCGTTCATATGTGTTTATATATGAATATATATACATACATATATAGATAGATAGATAGATAGATATATAGAAAGATAGATAGATAAATAGATAGATAGATATATGTGTTTGTGTGTGTGTATATAGGTATATATATATATATATATATATATATATATATATATATATATATATATATATATATATATATATATATATATATATATATACATATATATATATTTGTATATATATATATATATATATATATATATATATATATATATATATATATATATATATATATATATATATATGTATATATATATATATATATATATATATATATATATATATATATATATATATATATGTATGTATATACACATGTGTACTTATGCATCTATGTATACTATATGTATGTATGCATGCATATGTATGTATGTATGTATGTGTACGTACGTATGTATTTACATATTATGATGTCTACCCCTACTTCCCCCTCTCCCTCTTTCTCCCCTCGTTCCCCTCCCCCCCTCTCCCTTCCCCCACCCCTCCCCCCTTTCCCTTCCCCACCCCTCCCCCCTCTCCCTTCCCCACCCCTCCCCCCTATCTCTTCCCCCACCCGTCCCCCCACACTTGATAGCGTCTCACTCCTGGCTGTGACTTTCCCGCTCGCTCAGATATATAGTTTCCTCGTCCTGATCTCCCCAATACATCAGCGGCGCCGGGGATTCCAAAAGGGAATTCGGCAACCTGTTCCTGGCATCACTTCGGCTCTCTGTGAATTGTCTGATTAGGATCGGTAATGGGGAGTAGGGAACGGGTGGGGATTGTAAGAGAGGCGGAGAGACTAGTAATGCTGATTATTATGGCAATCACAGAAATTATGAAAATATATCGTTAGTTGTTATTATTATCATTGTTATTTTCATTTCCCTTTTTTGTGTTATTAATAACACCATTATAATTTTAAAATATGATTTATAATTTTTGTCTTTATTATTATTCATCAGAGCAGGTATTAGTACTAATATCACCACCATCACCATTATGGTCACCATTATCAATATTTTTATCATCATGGTAGGCATTCTTGTCATTAATATCATTATTAAAATAATTGTTGCTATTACTCTTATTATGGTTATTATCATCATTATAAACATTATTTTTTTTTATTATTATCATTCTATCATTATTATGATTATCATTTTATCATTATTATGATTATCATCATCATTATTAGTAGTAGTAGTGCTATTACTATTACTAATGATAGTAGTAGTAGCAGTAACATTATCATTACATTTTCATTATTATTTTTTTTTATCATTATTATTATTATTGTTATCATTATTATTATTACTGTTATCATTATTATTATTATCATTAATATCATTATTACCAATGTTATCTTTATTATTAATGTTATTATGATTATTGTGTTTGTTATCATTATTGTTCTTAATACTATCATAGTTAGCATTATTACCATATTTATCTTTATTATTATCCTCATCCTATGATTTTGATATTACTATCAAAAATATCTATTGATATTATATTTGTTATACTTGTTATCCTTCATACTAATAATGATATCATTCTTGTTATTGTTATTATTATTTTTATTATTATCAGTATAGTTGTTATCACAATTTTCTATTATCATTATCATTACCATCATATTTTTTATAATCATCATTATTGTCTTTTCTCATTACCAGTGTTATCATCATAATCATTATTGGCTTTATCATTATTTGTATTATTATGCCTATCATCCTTATTGCAATATTATCAATAATCATTACAGTTGAAATCATTATTATCATCATCATTATTACAATAATCTCTTTTATCATTATTATTACCGTTATTCTTTAATTCTCACTGTAACTATCTTTATCATAATTTATCAGTTTTAATATTATTTTAAAAATCATTATCATCATCCTATGTATTATTACCATCACGATTGCTATTTTCATTATTTTCATTATCGTCATCATTAGTATCAGTATAATAACATTTTTTCCGCCCTTGATGAAAATTTCGGAAACTACCATCTGCATTTTCTGTAAAAGGTTCCCCGCATCCATTGAGTCCAGGTTTGTTCAACCGCCGTGCGTGTAACATGTTATTGGCACGATCGCCATAGTTCAAAGTTCAACGTTTCCTAAACATTGCACCTCCCCACCGTTCCCTCCTGCCCCCTCCTCCCAAGGCTTGCTTCGCTGTTGAAGTATAGTTATTCGTGACAGAATACGGCGAACGGATTTGCAGCCGTCTCTTTAATATGTTCGAAGACCTTTTACGAACCTCTATGATTCCATCTTCACATATGCAAAAGGATGATTTGGATTTGATTGTTATTATGCCCCCAAAAAAACTATAAAAGCATACTAAATAACAATCCTTGCAGTTATTTAACAGAGACGCTAAATACCAGAATTCATACAGCTACGACCAGAGAAAAAAAAACAAATGCGCGCTTGCACAGGAAACCTTTCTGAGTGGGATCCAATTCCGTATCCACACTACGTCCACGGCAATGAAAGAATCTGAATTTTGTTTACGTCAGTTATACCACGGTGGCACAAAATTCTGTTTCGACCAAATGCCACTATGATTTATATTCGTTTTTCCTCCATTTTCATTTAATGTGGATATGCAGTAATTCATACAAAGTGAGGTAAAACCAAAGCAAAACCAAGGTAACCGAGAGATTAGAAACGAAATTTAAATCTGAATTAGAGAGACCATTATTCTTAGAAAATGCGTCTCATTTTTCACTGATTCAATTTGGTTCTAAATGCTAGAAAAAAATACCAAGTTCTGCAGACTTGCCAGACTCAATGGTAGGTTTCCCGGGAAGGGGAGGAAAGGGAGGGAGAGGGAGAAAGAGAGAGAGAGAGAGGAAGAGAAGAGAGACACAGAGAGAGTGAGGGAGAGAGAGGGGGGGAGGGGGGGACTGAGAGAGAGAGAGAGAAGAGAGAGAGAGAGAGAGAGAGAGAGAGAGAGAGAGAGAGAGAGAGAGGGAGAGTGGAAACAGAGAGGGAGAGTGAGAGAGAAGAGAGAGAGAGAGAGAGAGTGGGAAACAGAGAGGGGGAGAGTGAGAGAGAAAGAGAGAGAGAGAGAGAGAGAGAGAGAGGGAGAGTGGGAAAGAGAGAGGGGAGAGAGTGAGAGAGAGGGAGAGAGAGAGAGAGAGAGAGAGAGAGGAGGTGGGGGGGAGGAAGAGTGAGAGAGAAAAAAAAAGAACAAAGATAGATATATAGAGAGAAAGAAGAGAAAGAGAAATAAAGAGAGAGAGAGTGGGGGGGGTGAGTGAGAGAGAGAGAGAAAGGGGGGGGGGAGTGAGTGAGAAAGAGAGAGGGGGAGGGGAGAGTGTGTGTGAGGAAGAGAGAGAGAGGGGGGGAGTGAGTGAGAGAGAGAAAGAGAGAGAGAGGGGGGGGAGTGTGTGAGAGTGAGAGTGAGAGTGAGAGAGAGAGAGAGACAGACAGACAGAGACACAGAGAGAGAGAGAGAGAGAGAGAGAGAGAGAGAGAGAGAAGGAGAGAAAGAGAAAGAAGAAGTGAGAAGAGAAGAGAAAGAAAAGGAAAGAGAGAGACAGAAAGAGAGAGAGAGAGAGAGAGAGAGAGAGAGAGAGAGAGAGAGAGAGAGAGAGAGAGAGAGAGAGAGAGAGAGAGAGAATGGAAATGAGAGAGAAAAAGAGAGAGGGGGGAAAGAGAGAGAGAGAGAGAGAGAGCGGCGTACACGACGGCGTTATTGTAGCCAAAGAATGGAAACGGCATTTGGACACGCTGTAGAGCCGGTTCCTACTCGTGTAAAATTCTGAGGCACGCTGAAGCTGTAACATAGCTGACACATTCCTCTCCCTCGCCTCAACTTTCTACTTGTTGTTTTCATTCGATTTGGAGGTGTTTGGGGGGGGGGGGGGGTAGTTATGTTGGTGTGCTTGTCTGTATGTATGTGTGTGTGTGGGGG